TATATTTAATCTATCTCAAATCTATATTATATTTTTTTATATATATATTCTAGAAAAAATAAATCTATTAGTTAATATAATACTACTTATTGTTAAATTATTATATGATATTCTGGAAACTGAAAATTATTAATTCAAAATATATTATACTTATTATTATAAAAAGCTTAGAATATAATAATTTATATATAACCCTTATCTTTTATATATTAAAAATAAAAAAACTAGACTTAATATTATAAAGTTTTAAATAAACGATATACTTATCATTAGGGATAATACATTTATATAGATTAAGGATAAGCAATTCAAATAAATTGGCTTTATAACTAAGAATTGAAAAGAACTAATTCCTGATTATTTATTGAAGTTTAATAGTATTATTCTTATATTTAAAGGAGATAACATTTATCTTGATCAATAAAAGTAATGTAATAATCTATAGCTTATTTTAATAGGATCTATGAATATATATAATATATATAATAAGATTCGAAAATATACTTTTATATATAAGTAATATATTATATAATAAATCTATAAAGTATATATTACAATTATATATTAACCCAAAACATTTTTTGATTTATTTATAATAATATAAATAATCTAATCTAATAAGAATAATATTATAATATTAAATAAATATATCAAATAGTAAAAAGAAAACTTTGTTAAAGAATTTAATTATATATTATTTAATTTAGATTCACTTAAGATTATTATCTTTACTAATATCTTTTTTATAAATAATAAAAACTATTTCTTTCAAATAGGCTATATGATTATTATAATGAATAAATATAATAATACTAATATTGTTTATTAATTATTTATCAAATATAAAAAAGTTATATATAATATTTTAATTTCAAAGTTATATAAATTAGTTTAAGGATTTGATATTGATATAATAATCATTTCTATAATTAATATTATTCTCGATAAGAAGATTTTATTAATTTTATATATTAATTCTAAATTATTATACAATCTATTTATAAAATTGGGAATGATTAATAAAAAGAAACTAATAATCAATATTATGATATTATATTAATCCTATAAGTAGAAAGAGATTATTAAGATGATTTGAATCAATAAATTAATTAATCTGGTTGATATAATAATAAAGGGAAAGCTATGCCAAGCTTTTATTAATCTAATTTATATAAACAAGATTGATATTAAAATAATGAAATAGATGGAAAAAAATTAAAAGAAAATTGATTCTATTAGCAAAAGATTAGGGACTTTAAATCAATAGATAAAGGATTTTAATAATTTAATGAATTTCTTTTAAATTATTATATTCAAAGTTATAAAAAAGAGTTCCAAATATATGAACAAAAGTATTCATTCTAAAAGAATAATTTCAATATAATAACTATTATATCAAAGAGAAATAAGCGAATACGAAAAAGACTAGTTCTTTTAATAATGCTTATATAAGACCTATTACTTTCCTATATAACTAGCTCTTTAGATAGAATACAATTAGATATACAGGATCTACGAATACGTAGGTGCTATATCTTCCGTATCCTTCTCGAACCAACAGTTTTAATGTGAAGAGAGGGCAAAGGAGGTAATATATTGAATAAATGAATTGAATTATATTCTTTAATTGGGATAGATAAAAAAATATATAAGATAGAGCTTTCTAATAAATTAATTAAATTCCATTCTATATTTATATAATTCTTTTATATAAAATTGGAAGAAATTAAATAAAATAATGAAAATATGGATAATAATGATAATAATATTATAATAATCGATATATTACGAATGGAGATATTATAATCTTAAATGCTATTATTAATAATATAATTAGATATATAATTATATTGTTATATAAAAAGTAATTTGATTAATATAATTAATATAATTAATAGTGATATCAATTTATCACAATTAATTATATTCTTATAAGAAGATATATTTACAAGATATATAAAATTATAATGTAAGGAAGTTAACAAATTAATAAAAAGTGGAGTTTTTAGAATTATTTTAAAAATCAATATTCCATTTAAAATGAGATTATTTAAATTATAATTTATTAATAAAATAAAGAATAAAGATATTAATAAAGTATATACTAAATCACAATTAGTGGTTCAAATATATTAAGATAAGGGTAAAATCATTATTTTGATATAATCATTAATTATTCAATATATCAACTAGTATATTATTCTTATACTTACTATTATTTTGCAAATATCAAATAAGTATATTCAAATCTATTTACAAAATATTATATAAACATATATTTAATTAATTATAATATTAAATAGATCAATTTATATAAAAATATTAAAAGAAATTAGATTCGAAAATAAATATATTCTATACATTATTAAATCCTTATATAATATTCCTAAGGCAGGAAATTATTGATTTGGAATCTACTATAATTATTATAGGGATAAACTAAATATAATATAATTTATATACAACCCCTATTTATTTTATTCTAATAACAATATTAATATTATAAGATTCCAAATAGATAATATTCTTATAGTTATAGATAAGAGATTTGCATATTTAGAATAAAAGCAATTAAATAAAGCTTATTTTATAATCAAAAACAGAGAATAACTCATTGAGAATTATTTATTTAAATTTAATAATAATTTAATTATTTTCAAAAATAATAAAATCTATTTGAATTAGGAGAAATAATATAATAATATTAGAATAATTATATCAGGAAATATCGATATATATAATATAAAAGGAAAAGTTTGAAAGAATATTACTTCAAAGAATCAATATATCGCTTAATGTATAAAAGGAGTATATATTATAATTATATATCAATTAAAGATATTATATCATTTTTCTATTATTACCTAAATAATAAATCTAAAAAAGAAAAATGTGATTAAGCTTAATAAAGTTATTAAATAACAAATGGATAATTCAACAAAAGAATTTACATTTATATCTTTAAATATAAATTCAATCTAATTAATCATATTTACAGACACATCCTTCACTAACAATACTAATTTATCATTACAAATTGGCTATATTATCTACCTAATAAATAAATATAATAATATTAATATTATCTATTGAATATTAATTAAATATAAAAGAATTATTAGGAGTATATTAGCTTCTAAGCTATATATATTGATTTTAGATTTTAATATCAAAGCAGTTATTAAAGGTATTATTAATACTATTCTTAAGCCTAAAAAATTAATATTATTTATATTCTATACAAACTTAAAATCTCTATATAATCTATTGACTAAATTTGGTATAAATATAGAAAAGCAGCTTTTAATTAATATTATAACTTTAAAATAATATTATAAGAATAGAAAAATTATAAAGATTAAATAAATTAATAGAAAATCAAATCCTATAGACATTATAATTAAAAATAATATATATTAAATATTAAAGAATTTAATTGATATTAATAAAATAGTTATTAAAATAATATATTAAATAAAAAGAGAGTAGGGAAATAAGAGCTAGGAGGAATTAAGAGAATATTATATCTAAAGAGATAAATTATAAACTAAAACATATAATCATATTTATTTTTAGAGAATTATTAGTATTAGGATATCAATTATATAATCAAAGAGAGCATTATATTAATTAGCATCACACTAATACTACCCTATATTAAATACTAGCTTTCTATAGATAATAATAATCAAAAACGAATACAACCATAATAGACTAAAGTACTTTACACTTATATCAACCAAGTTGATACCAACACAACCCTTCTCCTTTTATCGCCCGCTTAGTGCTAATAAAACAAGGGTAATCTGAGCCTCAAGTTAGAGTATTACCACCAAGTCAAGCAAATCTTCTATCCGGTCCATGATATATTCATATCTCAGAGAAACCTTTTCATGAGGCTTGATAGAGATCACCCTAAGCATGATAGGTAAATAATGTACGAAGTGTTCTAGCCAAACCATACTAGAATGGTTTCAATGGTTCTCCTTTGTAGGCACGCAAGTACTTAGTGTATAAATCGGCAATGAGCTGGACTATCATCTTCCAAGCTTTTAGACGAAGCTTTCTAGTGTAAGGATTCTGAAGACAGCATAAAAAATGATATAGAATTGAAGAAAGGAAATATTAAACAATCTTAGATTCATTGCCATTGAACTTAATATGTAATTCGCTCGCTTGAGCGTTCGTGCAGTTGGCCCACCACTTTTTTCTCCTTCAGATTTTGCTTTCACATCTGCAGTGGTCCCCTTGAACTTTAAATGACTTCCCCTATCATCCATTGCCGACATGGAAATAGTACTACCCCCCGCTCCATTTTATTCAATCACATGGTCCCCAGCTTTCAATCCAAGGAACTCTTATACATGCCTGGAACAAATTCTCGGACATTTCATGGGAGAAACACATTATCTGGTTCGAAAGCTACTATACCTGTTACCCTATTTAAAACTTTTCTTGAAAACTGGCGAGTGGGATGCTGGTAATGACGTTCTAAATGTATCTTTCCAGCGAGGGTCGAATATCGAGGCCCGAAAATGAATATTTGAGATCAGTGAGTTTGAATGGATGTACCGCAGAACAAACCATAGAGCAGATGCAATTCGTTTAATCATGCTACTTGACTTTTTCGCGGTCTCGTCTCTCTGTGCTATATTGACTTCTGCTTGTGGTAAATCAGGTAAAATATGGAATTATTGCACAACTGTGAGTTAATGAAAGTACGTATCATGGGATGACTATATCCTAGTATTAATCTACTACAATGTCAATTCTATGCGCATTTGTATTTTGAATGATGCGAAATTGTACAGATTATTGATGAAAGTCTGATGTGCCTGGCCCTGGATAAGGTTTAAGGATGAGGAGGGGTACGGAACGGAATAATCAATTAATCCGAGGTTGCTGCGGACCCAATTTGTGTTGTTTACTCTCACGCGCAAATCAAAATATAAATAATTACGACTTTACGACCAACGATATTACGACTCAACACCGCCATAATGAGGGTAGTAGAAGTCATTATAGATGTTTGTCTCATCAAATAAACTCATCAAAATCCTTAGATATCTTGACTAACTCATGTCCAGGGTTTCAAATCGTACGCTGTGCGTACCGTAATTTCAGGATGGTAAACAATGCAAACGAAAGATTCTTTGGTACATATTCTTACATCTGTTTTAGGGATGAGAGTTTCAATTCGATTACTGGTCTGAATGGTAGTGGTAAATCAAATATTCTCGACTCAATATGTTTTGTTCTTGGTATTACGAATATGACAACGGTTCGGGCGCAGAATCTTCAGGTATATTACAACCCCTCACATGGGCATGAAACGTATTGACGGACCTCTTTAGGATCTGATATACAAGCGTGGACAAGCTGGAGTAACGAAAGCTAGTGTGACGATTGTTTTCGACAATCGAGACAAGAAGAAATCGCCCATTGGATTTGAGGAATATGCTCAAATCAGTGTTACTCGACAAATTGTTCTGGGAGGTACCAGCAAATATCTTATAAATGGACATCGAGCACAACAACAAACCGTGCAAAACCTTTTCCAATCCGTTCAGCTCAATATCAACAACCCAAATTTCTTGATTATGCAAGGACGAATTACAAAAGTGCTGAACATGAAAGCGGTTGAAATTCTTGCCATGATTGAGGAGGCGGCAGGTACACGAATGTTCGAGGATAGAAGAGACAAGGCTTTCAAGACAATGGCTAAGAAGGAAATGAAGGTTCAAGAGATCACTGAGTTATTGAAAGAGGAAATCGAGCCAAAGTTGGAGAAGCTGCGGACGGAGAAACGGGCTTTCCTGGATTATCAACAAACACAGAACGATTTGGAGAGACTCACAAGAGTGGTGGTGGCGCATGATTACTTGAAGAATCAAGAAAAGGTTGCCCAATCAGCTAACGATCTCGAGCTCAAGAAACAACGGGCGATAGAATTGGAGGAATCAGCGAGTCGGTTGAAAAGCGAAATCTCATTCTTGGAAGAAGATATCAAACGGGTGAAGGCACAGCGGGAGAAAGAATTAAAGAAGGGTGGAAAAGCCTCAGCTTTAGAAGAAGAGGTTAAGAAATATTCTCATGAATTGGTTCGACTTGCGACGGTCATGGATCTGAAAAAATCGAGTATGGCGGAAGAGCAGGAACGAAAGTTGGCAACTCAAAAGACGGTTTCTGAGATGGAATCTCTACTCAAACAGAAAACCAAGGTTTACGAAAAGTTACAATCGCAATACAATAAGGCCAAGGAAGATTTAGAGAAGCAAAATTTAGAAGCAGAGACAAAAGAGGAACTTTTGCAAACTTTACAAACTGGTGTCGCATCCAAAGAAGGTCAGGAGAGTGGATACCAGGGGCAATTACAAGATGCTAGGAATCGGATGAGTACTGCTTCTACCGAGCAAGAGCAAGCAAAGTTGAAGATTAATCATCTTGAGAAGAGGATCAAGGAAGAAGAGCCAAGGTCGAGAAAGGCTAAAGAGCAGAACGCTGGACTACTTGGAGACCTTGAGGGATTACGATCTCAAGCTCAGAAACTTGAAAAGGAGCTTCAGAAATTAGGTTTCGAAGCAGGCAAGGAAGATGATATGTACAAGCAAGAATCGACTATTCAGCAAAATATCCGAAGGATCCGGGAACAGGCAGATGGATTGAAACGTAAAGTAGCAAATGTGGACTTCAATTACTCAGATCCTGCTCCAAACTTTGATAGATCGAAAGTTAAGGGTTTGGTGGCTCAACTTTTCACAATTGATAAGAACCACACAGCTGCGGGAACGGCCCTTGAGATTTGTGCAGGTGGCCGTTTGTACAATGTTGTCGTTGATACAGAAGTTACTGGTACCCAACTACTTCAAAATGGGAAATTAAGGAAGCGAGTCACTATTATCCCTCTGAACAAAATTGCCGCTTTCCGAGCTTCAGCGGAAAAGATTGGTGCTGCTCAAAGAATTGCCCCGGGCAAAGTTGATCTCGCACTGTCCTTGGTTGGTTACGATGAAGAAGTTTCGACTGCTATGGATTACGTATTCGGAAACACGCTCATCTGCGCAGACGCTGCTACAGCTAAGCGAGTTACATTTGACCCTTCTGTCCGTATGAAGAGTATCACATTGGAAGGTGACTCTTATGATCCATCTGGTACACTATCTGGAGGTAGTTCTCCAAACTCAAGTGGAGTTCTAGTTACTATGCAGAAGTTAAATGAGCTTAACAAAGAACTCAAATCACAAGAGGGAGAGCTGGCTGATCTTCAGGCCACCATTGCCAGAGAGAAGAAGAAGATAGACCAAGCACGAAAGATCAAACAAGAGTTAGATCTCAAGTCTCACGAGGTCAAGCTTACAGAAGAACAAATCGGAAGCAACTCCTCCTCGTCCATTATCCAGGAGATCGAGAATATGAAGGCTAGCATTATTCAACTCAAGCAGGACCTGGTCGAAGCAAAGAGACGACAGGATGAAGCTACAAAAGATATCAAATGCATTGAGAAGGATATGAAAGAGTTTGACACCAATAAAGATGGCAAGCTCGTTGAGTTGCAGAGCTCTCTTGATTCTCTGAGAAAGGCACTCACCAAAAATTCTGCGGCTGTTAAGGCACTACATAAAGAGTTGCAAAGTGCCCAAATGGACACAGAACAGGTTGGAGGTGATCTTTCAAATGCCCAAGAACAACTCCAGGAAGTTGAGCAAACATTGAAAGCCCAGGAAGAGGAAATTACAAGTTTAGTCTCCGAGCAGGCCCAGGTCAAGGTTGGTAATTATCTTAAAATCACATGTATGAAACTAATGTGGTGTAGGATTCGCATGATATCTCACAGGCACATCTCGATGATGAACGAGCTAAATTGACAGGATTTGATGATGAATTACATTCTCTTGAGCAAGCATCAAGATCAAAATCTTCTGGCATCACCGAAGAAGGTTTGGAAATGCAAAAGCTTGGTCATCAGATTGAGAAGTTTCACAAAGAGCAACAAGCGGCTGTGCAAACAGTATCGCACATGGAACAAGAGCACGAATGGATCGCTGACGAGAAAGATAATTTTGGTCGAACTGGAACTCCTTACGATTTCAAGAGTCAAAATATCGCAGAATGTAAAGCTACATTGAGGAATCTTACCGAGCGCTCTCAAGGGATGAAAAAGAAGATCAATCCTAAGGTCATGAACATGATTGAAAGTGTCGAGAAGAAGGAGATTGCACTCAAGAACATGATGAAGACCGTCATTAGAGATAAGAAGAAGATTGAAGAAACTATCAGCAGTCTTGATGAGTATAAGAAAAAAGCTTTGCTAGAGACATGGCAAAAGGTCAATAAAAATTTCGGACAAATCTTCGCCGAATTATTACCAGGCAGTTTTGCAAAGTTGGATCCTCCTGAGGGAAAGACAATCGCCGATGGTTTAGAAGTCAAGGTATCTCTTGGTAAAGTGTGGAAACAGAGTTTAACAGAATTGAGTGGTGGACAAAGGTATTTACTTCTCCAAGCTTTTTGACTACATATGCATTTACTAAGTCACGAATCACAGATCGCTGATTGCACTTTCACTCATCATGGCTTTATTGCAATTCAACCCAGCCCCAATCTATATCCTCGATGAAGTAGATGCTGCGCTTGATTTGTCACATACACAAAATATTGGTCGTTTGATCAAGACTCGTTTTGGTGGTAGTCAATTTATCGTTGTTAGTTTGAAAGATGGCATGTTCCAAAATGCGAATCGCATTTTTAGAACGAGGTTTAGTGAAGGAACGAGTGTGGTGCAGAGTTTGACGGCGGCAGATTTTAATTGATTGGTTTTTGAGGGGGACGGAAATCGATGATTAAATAGGCAGGTTGTTCATTGAATGTTGGTCACTTGGGTCGATGCTGATATGGATGAATGTATGGATGAACGGTTGGATTGGTGGTTGGATGGATGAATGAATGATGGCGTTGGTTTTATATATATGGCGTATTGGGGATGGGATGGGAGCAGGCTTTGGAATAGGCGAAATCCTTTGAATGTTACCTACCTAGGCATGAGGGGGAAATAGAGATATGTAAAATGAAATTTCCGTCGTGTTGTTATGTTGAAATGACGATAGTATGGAGATGACGAGATGGTTTGGGATGATGACTTGTGTTTGTATTCGCATTTTAGATATTTGCGACCCTATCTAGGTAGTTGTATATTATAAAATATCCAGTAGAGAATGTCTTATCAATATTGCAATACCCTACCGGTAGGTAAGCTAGATGAGGTAGCATAATTCTTTACTTGATAGATTTATAGATGCTAATATATTCATTCAAATCATCAAGAACCTAAACCGTACTAGATGGGATTTTATTTATCGTGTATCTATGGGTAGGTAGGTATTGATGTATGTACTGGTTTGGGATGGGATGAGATGAGATGGGACGGCTGGATGTGGGATGGAGTATTTGTATGTATGTATCGTCTGTTATAAGATGCGTATGAGATGGATGCGGGATGAGATATAATGGATGGATGGTGTTCCCTTTGGTTTTCCCATGCATTGCGTTGCGCAGGTGCATTTATTACATGGGGAAGAACTCGAAGGGTCTTGGAGGAAATAGATTGCACTCGGCTCGGCTCGACTCGGCTCGACTGGACTGGAGGGAGTGTTTGGGGGGTTTCTTTCACATGTTAGATTTTTAGTTTGGGGTTTGGGGTTTGCTTGGGGTATGGTGATGGGATGGGATATATTGGCGCTTGGTAGCTTGGTAGCTCGGTTGTGTGTTTAGATTTGGATCTTGGATTTGGATCTTGATTTGGATTTGTATGGTATACGGTGGATACGTAATCTTTGGGGTTTGTGAATTGAGTGTTGTGAATTTGTTGGTCGTGGGGAAGGGAGGGGAGGGGAGGAGAGGAGAGGGGGAAGGGGTATAGAATCTAGATGTGATGGGAATTACAGGATTGGATAACATGGGATGGAATGGGATGAAATGGGATTAATAGATAGATAGATAGATAGATTTGGCTGGCTCGGCTGAGTGTGTGTGTGTGTGTGTGGTTCGGTGTGTAGAGCCGAATTCGGAACCTAGAATCACTAGTAAATATGGGATCTAGAATCTTGAATTTAGAATTTAGAATCTAGAATTTAGTATTTAGTATTTAGTATCTCGATGCAATGAGGATCTGGAATCTGGAATTTTGAATGTGGGTTCTAGAATCTGGCACGTGTTTATGATATGTATAATATGTATAATGGTAATTATGGGATTGGATTGGATTGGATTGGATTGGACAAAATTGATAAGATTGATTGATTGATTGATTCATAGATAGAGATATGGTAGAGGCTCATAGATTCGATATGTAAGTAAGGTATATAGAACCGGGTTTAGTGTATGTATATATTCATAGTATGATATAAAATAGTAAAATAACCAGGCTCCCAGCTCCCTCATAAAAAAGAAGTACCTAGGTATCGTACACACCTAGCTCCCTAGGTACATACATACGTGATGGTGGCGAAAAAATCAAATGTGAAATAGCAAGCTTGTCTTGTCTCGGGGAGAAAATTACATACCTAGTACGCTCATCTTGCAAAGGCGTGCTGCGCATATGCAGCTATGTATGTATATATGTACAAAAGAAGTATATGATGTGTGATGTGTGATGTGTGATTGTGATGAAAGGAAAGGTTCGGAAATTGGATGGGAGGACCTGGTTGGAGGTAGGTAGGTGCTCGTAGAAGGCCTGGCCTTACGCATTTCGGAGTGCAAGACCGAGTCCGAGGTTTGGGAACGAGAATGTGAATGTGAATGTGAATGTGAGTGAGCGTGAGGTTTGAGATTTAGAGTTGCGGATGGGGACTTGAGGGCTGCGAATGGAGATTTTAGGGTTGGAGAGAGAGTTTAAAGAGAGTAGGAGGGTAGAAGGTGAGGGAGGAAGGTAGCTATTTTACGAGTGATAGCTCCATTGGATTGTGGATTATGCTACATTCTACGAGTACTTTACTATGATATCGATCTACCAATTTTGATTCTCGAAGCTCAATACTAGATAAGATTTACTTGGCATGAATGAACCACGGATAACGGAACATGAAATATGAAATATAAAATATAAACACGGAATGGAGTATCACAAACGGGAAAAGAGAAACGGACAATTCGATTATCAGAGGGAAGCCGTCTCCGTTTTACTGGATTCCTAGATTCCTATTTAGTAGATGGCTAGATTGAAAGCTAAGATATCTAGGTATGCTCTGGAGGTAGATAGATAAATGTGATCTTTCAATATTGGATTTTAGATTTTGACTAGAGATATATCAGGAAGATCGATGGAAGGAAGGAAGGAAGGATTGATTTGTTAGGAAGATACATCGATGGAATACGGTACGCGTAGTTGGTATACACTTTATTAGTATAAAAGTTTGAGGCTATACGTATAAGTAAGTACCTAGTCAGTACCTAAGTGTAGATAGGCTTGTACACAGTAGGTAGGGACTAGAACAGCGAATTGGATTCTTGAGAGAAAGACGTCGGATTCGGATGCGAAGTAGGTAGGTAGGTGATGATAACGATAATGATAATGATAATGATAATGATAATGCGTATGTTTTTATACGATGAATACGATGGATACGATATGGTTTGATATGAGATGATGGGAGGGATAGATAGATACCTAGATAGATAGATAGATAGATAGATACGATGAATACGGGTATTTGTATAGAAACTTTATACGAGTATGTGTATATGTATTACTAAGCTATATACGAAAGATAGCAAGCTCGCAGCCACAATAATTACTCACCACGTGCATTTATTTATCTTTATTTCTACGAGTATACCTGTGGAGGCTCAGGATGCATGTATGTAAATTGACATGCATTGGTGCGCATGATATACTACTCCCTCTCTTGGTTTTTGGGAAGTTTGAAGGTTGGAGTTTGGACTTGGGTATCTCTTGCTTGGAGGTTTCAAGGTTGTATAACTTATAATTGTATTGTATTGTATTATAGTTTAGTTTAGTTTGGGGGGTTAGTGTCGAGTTATGTTGATGTGCTTTTTTATTATTATCTATTTTCTATTCATCTACGGTATGTGTATGTGTATGTGTATGTATATGTATATGTATATGTGTTGTAACTTGTAAGTTCGAGGGGAATTGATTTTGGAGATCAAGTGAGCGTGTTTTTCAGGGTATGGTAGTCAAGTATCAGGGAATCTCCTATTTGTAGGATTGTCAGTGATTCTTTGATAGGTGGAGAGTGGTTTGGGTGGATAAGGGGAGGTTTTCGATTCGGAGGGTTTTGTGGATAGGGAGGGTTATCGGGGGAGTTTTGAGGGTTTTGATGGAGAGAGAGGCTCGAGAGAGAGAGAGAGAGAGAGGGTTGGGTTGGGGTATGATTATTGGAATCATTGTTAGTGTGGAATTTTCTTGGATAATGGTGATAATTATGGTGTGAATGGATTGGATTGGATTGGATTGGATTGGATTGGATTGGATTGGATTGAATGAATGGAACATGGATAGAAACTTGGAATAGGGGTCCTGGGGTATCTACTAGGTAGGAACTGGATATGATGGATCCCTATTTCAAAAAAGTTATGGATGATGATACTTTGTATCAATGCTTGAGCAATGAGGACCGATTGAGTGTCCATTATTAAAACGTTAATTGAGTGGTTTGTATGTACCAATATGTATGATTATATCAGAGACCCCTATTTTCTATCCCTACATATGTGAAGTTTCTTTGGTTGGAGAAATTAGTAGGAAGATTGGACATTGGAGATTGAAGATTATCTTTTTTTTTCTAGTTATGCAGTTTTTATCAGGTGATTATGTGTGTTCATACCATAATGATCCTATAAACCGAACATATCTATCTACTCACACCATATTGATCCTATATATCACATACATCTGCTGATATCAAACTAAAAAATGGCTTCCAGAATCCAACGATCAAAGAAACTCTTGCACGGCAAATTAAATGAAATTAAATAAATGAATAAAATAAATACCACACACCCCTACATTGCTGAAAATATCATCAGGGGTCCGGGGGGGGTTACATTTCATCTAGAAGATAATCTAGAAGAACGTTAGTGTGTAAGACCAGATGAAATTGAAATCCTGGAACGGAGATCTGGAAAAGAATCTTGTGGCCGAGACCAAGACCCTGATTTTTCCTGAAAAATGGAATGAAATGGAATGAATGGATGGCGTGGAAGAGAAGAGGGGCGTGGATGGATTTGTACGTCGTACCTTGCGGATTATGGGGCACAATGGCTTGGATGGTACAGTAGTATGGTCGTACCGTAGGAGAGAGGTGGAGATGCGTATGTGTAGGGTGAGGGGACCGAGAGTGTTAGACTGTTAGTGGAAAGTTATTACTGTAGAAGGGAGGGATAGGAGGGATAGGAGGGATAGGAGGGATAGGAGAGATGTGGGAAAGATTACTCGTAGAATGATGTTATGTTGTGATAACGTCAATTTAGATTGTATTTAGATTGTATTTAGATTGTAAATACCGACTAGGTAGGAGACTACGAAGAGACTACGAGGTGACTAAGGGATTAACTAAGAAAGATAACGCACTGGAGGTTACGATGGGTACGTGGTACTTATGTATTATGTATTATGTATTATGTATTATGTATTATGTATACGAGTAGATTTATAAATGATATATAAATGATATAACTATACCGATCATCAAATGAATCAAACACTAAACAACTGATTACCCTGACGGCACTTCCATTCATTCAAAGCACCATCCGTGACCCGTGACCTGTGACCTGTGATCCAACCCAACAAAGCCAACTTGGAACTTTACCCGTTTGCACAGCCCATTAAGATCATCCAAAAGTGGAAAGCAGGACGCGCCTTCAGTTCCAAGGTAGATGATTCGAGTGAGCAGACCCTTTCTTATTCTCTTGGCTTGGGCGATTTAAACTTTTTCCCTTTCGTTTTCTGCGCGAGGATTCTTTTTAATTCGAGGATCCTGGGTCTTTTAAATCATTTCCAATTTATGGTGATATGTTGGGAGTGTGACGAACGTTTTGGATTTTGGTATAGAGTAGGAAGGTAGGTAGATAGAGAAAGGCAGAGAGAGAGAGGGGGAGAGAGAGAGAGAGTAGATTGAATGTCATGAATATTGAACTGTTGAACTCGGAACTGGAACTGGAACTGGAACTGGAAATTGACAATTAAAACTCCTTTCTTCAATTCGCTTGTATCATAATGAGATCCTTATCCAGCTGTACCGTACCATACTATGTATCTCCATCTCCATCTCCATCTATATCCATATCTATATCGAGAAGCATGAATTCACACGCCCTCCTTTTATATTTGCCCCCCTCTTTTCCATGATACCCTTTGAACCCTTTTTGTTTATAGTTCACCCATCAAAAGAAAACCCCACTGAAGATCACGGATTCATGCTCAAACCCTAGGCCGTTTGTTATTATTAGGTATTTGTCTGTACAAGCGGATATTATTGTCTTCCCTTTCCGGATCTTGTGATTCCTCGTTGTATCGTCTTCTCTATGTGATTATTGATGACTAACTCTCGTATATCGTTTTCTGTATGATGATACGAAGAAGCATGTCATCTTCACATCCATCCCCCCCTGCTTCTCCTGTCGTTCTACAGCTCACCCTCCAAACTCTGGAAACAACAGAAACAACCGCGCATCAAGAAAGATTCCTCCCCCACTAAACTACGAATATCAAACGTGTGTCTGACTAGGGGATCCAATACTACCCGCGGGAACTTGATCAGATTGGGTTTAGCCTGAGATTCAATCAAACCTAGGATTCAGATTCATCCACACATACATACGCGGATACGCTCTTATTAGGTTATTTATCATTTATTATTTAAAATTCAAAATTCTTTTTATTCACGAAGCTAGGGAGATACAAATACCAGAGGAAGGAAGAAAGAAAGAAAGAAAGAAATTTGGTGCTTAATTTCTTAATTGGAATTATTATTTCTCGAATCTTGAATCTGGAATCTTGAATATTCTGGTGTGCTCCTATCCTACATTTGACGCTAGTACAGTACCTACCTACTTTAACAAAAAAAGAACTGGTACGGTACGAGTGACAAGAACAAGAGCTACTTCAAAAGTCTCAAACGAATAATACTCTCGACCTTCTGCTTCCTATCTTCTACTTTCCATCTTCCATCTTCCACCTTCTCAACACCTCTCGTCGTTTTTTAAATTCACATTCAATTCGTTCAACTCCTTTCCCAGAATTCAACTTTTTGCATTGACGAGTTGCTGCTATTTTCTGCTGCTGCCTCGATTCCTGCAATCCTCTTCTTGACATTTCATTCCTTCTCTTCTTACGCTCTTTAATTCGCATCTTCCATGTGCATTTTCTGGTAATACAAATTCATTTCCATATCGTATAGGCAATTACATCTCAGAAAGTTAACATCTTTCACTAGAATTTAGATTGCACACAATAGTGCTTTTATCTCTCAAATCAACTCACTCACTCACTCACTCACTATGTCTTCACTCATTCAACCATATCTCGACCTTGCCTTGCAGCAACTCGAAATTTACAAGGACCAATTGATCCAACAAATCCCAGTCATCTCGACGACCACATATGTCCTAACCATTTTGGCCATCTGTATACCCCCTATTGTCCTTTTAGCATTCTACGAACTCGAACAAGCGCGACAACGTGCCGAACAACCTAAAGGTTGTAGAAAACTGGGATTGAAAATCGATAGCAATCTTACCAATGAATTCGATCCTAAATTCTCCGAGGGACGTCCCCCCAGTACTGAAGAAACATCTGCAGAATGGTGGAGATTGAAAAGTATGTGGATTTATCCAGTCAAGAGTTGTAAAGGAGTTGAGTTGGGCAGAGGAACCATTATTGCAAGTGGAATGGAATACGATCGTCAATTTACCTTTGCACAATTGAAAAGTCCATTTCCCGTCGCAGAAAACGATCCAAATTCAAAGAAGGCAGCACATCAATGGGAATTCATCACTCAACGACAATTCCCTTTGTTGGCGAAAGTTAGGACCGAAATGTGGGTTCCAGATCAAAGCGTGGATACATATGCTCCTCATATCGATGATGTCGAGAGTGGAGGAGTTATAATTATGAGTTTCCCATATCAAGAACCTGGATGGAGAGGAACCGTTGCAAGTTGGGGTGCCAAAGTTATGGGAACCGTCCCTGAAAAACAATTCCGGGTGCCATTCGATCCTTCGCCAGTACAAATTGAGAAAGCAGGTTATACTGTTGAAAAGATGACAATCTGGAGAGAAACGGTTGATGCTTTAAATGTGGAAATTGAGATTCCAGAAGAACTCAGATATTACCTTGGTATCAGCAATAAGTTGGGTTTGTTCAGAGTCGATAGCGCAAAGCCGAGAGAAGTTTTCAGAAATGCGCCTTCAAAGGAAGAACTTGGATATCAACCAGTTACAGGCTTTCAAGATGCTGTAAGTTTTCTTCGAACACTCAAAATCTACTGTATGATTTCTTTACTAATTTATTCTAGTATCCTATCCATCTTATCAATCTTGCTAGTATTCGTGATGTTGAAAGTAAAATGCCCAAGGTTAAGGGGGCGCCAAGATTATCTGCAGGACAATTCCGTGCCAATTTGATCAGTATGTTATTCTAAAATTTCAAAATCTGTTTGTTTCAATACTAATATCTTTCAGTTACCGGACCTCCAGCTTACCACGAAGACGATTGGCGACGAATTAAGATTGGTTTTTACGAATACGATGTTTCTTGTCGTACAGTAAGATGTAAGATGCCAAATGTAAATCAAGAAACTGGCGTGAGACATCCATCCGAACCCGACAAAACTTTACGAACCTTCAGAGCCATTGATGAAGGAGCCGGAAAGAATTTAGGATGTTTGGGTATGCAATTAGTACCTACTACCAAAGATGGAGCACTGAGGGTTGGGGATGAAATTACGGTGTTGGAAGTTGGTGAACATCATTATCAAAAATTATTCCCGGAATTGAATAATTAATCGCTAGGCGAGCATTCTTTGTATTGTGTTGGTTGTGTATCAAGAGAGTACAGGAGTAATGGACATATAAAATATGGAATGGTAGCAAGGAGTTTGGGATTTATTGATTGGTCGGCTGGATGGATGGCTGACTGACTAACTTTACATACAAATACTTTTTTTTTCCCTCTTCACTTTTTTCTTGCTCGCTCTATTTGTATATGTGTGCTGGTGTTTGAAGATATGCTACTTGCTTGCTTGCTTGTGTGTTTTTATATATGGATATGTATATCTTGTAAGCGGGTTAGAGATTCCGGGGGTTTCTTTCCTCTTTTTATCTTCTTTCTTTCTGTGTTTTGAAAAGGAAGATAGAGATAGATAGATGGGTGTGAGAGGGATTTTATTGAAGGTGATTGATTGATTGATTGATTATTTATTTTTTAATTGCTTACTTGCTTTCTTTTTGGTTGTAGGCTGATTTTGAGATTTGAGATTTGAGATTTGAGATTTGGAAGGGAGAGGGGAGGGGAGAGGGGAGAGGGGGGAAGTGCTTTTTAGGGTATATGAATGAGATGGATGAGATGGGATGGATAGGATTTGGGGGGGAGGGGGAGGGGAAGGGGTAGGGAGTAGGGAGGAGTGAGTAGGGGGTGAGAAGTAGAGAGTAAGGAAATAGAGAGGAGATGGAAGATTGAAAGAGGAAATAAAATAAAATCAAATAAAATAGAAGAAATTGTTTATTTTATATGTGTATATATAATTTGATATAATTGGAATTGAATTGACTTGATTTTACAAGAGTAAAATGTAGATGATAAAAAGAAGTTGGAGTTACCTAGGTACCTTAGCTAATGTTATTTGAACGAGTACCTAGTCTAGTAGGTATGTGATGTGGTTAGTTGAGTTGAGTTGAGTTGAGTTATGAGGATATTGATTAGGATGATTTTGTGATGTGATTTGAATGATGTGATGAGTATAAATCGTAAGTAATGCGAATAGGTATCTAGGTAATATATCGTAGGATTTATAGTTTGATATTTGATATTTGATATTGAACTTCGTGTTTATATTCATGTGGATCTGATTATTGATTTATTTATTTATAGAGCCCCTTTCATCTTTTTCCTCTCTTTTTCCTCTCTTGTTCTTCTTCTTCCCTCCTCATCCCCATTCCCCTTTCCCCTTTCCCCTCCTTATCCCCATCTCCATCTACCTTTCTCCCTCGACCTATTACCCACAACCCACAACTTACAGCTCTCAATCCCCAACTCCCCAAATCTACAACTTCGACTCCTTTCCCTCTCCCTTTCCCCTTCCCTCTTTCTTCTCCTTCGCACCGCCTGGTAATTCCACACCCACAATATTCACTTTACTATGTTCGCAAATGGCGAGGACTTCTCCGGTTCTACGTTTCATTGTTCCTGGGGGGTGGGGTGTTAGTTCTGATTTCTTTGTTTTATTTTCTTGAATTTGTATTTGACTTTGAATTTGACTTTGAATTTGACTTTGAATTTGACTTTGAATTGGGGTTCTGGGGTCTTATTGCGCTTGGGAAGTTTTGCTCTGGGGGAGTGATAGAATAGGAAAGATAGAGGAGAGAAAGATTTTGAAGGGTTTTCTTCTTTTCAGATGGTGGGTGGGAGGGGGTGGTGGAATCTAAGAGATAGAGGGGATGGGTAGATGGAGAAGTGAAAAACAAAGCGGGAAAGAATGAAGGAAAGATGTTTACAAGAGAGAAGAAACGAAAATGGAAATGAGAATCGGAAACCCAAACCATCAACGCATCGCATCCCATCCCATCACACCCAGCTTTCCAAATCCAAATTCCCCCAAAAAGAAAAAAACACTAACCTCTCAAAACCACATTTCTCTTTCCCAACCCCCCCACAACTTCACATTCAACCAATACATCATTTTTCCCCTCTCCTTCAGTTTCCTCATTGTGGATAGTAATGCCTTTTAGATAAGTACATCCCAATCCTCGACTCACTCCACCACCGCCCCATTTCTGAGCGCTGTAGCGGCCCATGAGTGCAACGGATGTGCAGGCATCGAAGACGGTTGCGATGCAGCCGCCGTGGACGGTGGAGTTTGCATTGCTGTGAGGGGGGTGGATGGGTTAGCGGGGTGTGGAGAGGGGTGGAGAGGGGTGGGGAGGATGCAGAGTGGGGCGGGGGAGAGGGAGAGGGAGAAAAGGAATCTAAGGTCTGGGTGTAGATGTAAGGCTTGATATTACGGGTATGCTGTAGCCCCTCGAAGCAGAATATCTCAATGTGATATCATAAAAAACAAGCCCCGAGTAAACAGCAGCAAACCAACACACCCCAAAAACTCACTCCCTTCCCCTTCAAAATAATAATAAAAATAAATACAAAAAAGAACTAACCAATGATGCGCCGTCGGTTTAAAAATAAACGTCGTCACATTCTCCGAATGATGCTCCGCATCTGTAGAAAGTGAGAGCGAAGGTAGGAGATCGTGACCCCATCCCTAGAGAAAAGGAGATGTGTTAGTTAGGGATCGTTTGGGGTTGAGTTGTATGTATAAGTTGGGGTGGGTGGGAATATCAGTGAGAAGGAAGGGTAGATTAGACTTCTAGCTTAGAAGTTGGTGAGTTTGATTGTGAGGTTGGGAGATGAGGAGATATTTGGGGGTTTTGAAGGGCTGAGTAGTTGAGGGACAAATGGAGATGAATGGAGAAGAAAGGGGATAGGAATGGGAGTTGCGGTGAGCGGTATAGAAGTGAGGTGAGATGGAGGCGGAAGGGTGGAAAGGATGGGAAGAGTGTGCAAACTCGTAACTCGCAACTCGGAGAGATTGAATGCGAGACCTCCATCTCCCTTTTCCTCTCCTCCCTTCTAGAAGCGAGCAAGCACCACAACAGAAACCAATTCCAAAGAACTGGAAATCATATTCCTCTCCCATCCCTCTCTCCCCTCTCTTCACTCCACTCCCCTCCCTTCCCTATCCTTCCCTCCCTTCCCCCCTTCCCTCCATCAACCACCCCTCCCCCAGAAAGAAATAAACTAACGATATACCCCTCCCTACTATCCTTCCACCCCTTCATCAAGAACCCCAATCGTTTCAATCCCACATCAGTCTTCGCATCGAACATTGTTGTCATTTTTGTTTTCCCTTCCTGTCCTTTCCTGTCCTTTCCTTATTTTTTTTTCCTTCTTTCCAAAATTCGATCAAATCGAATCAAATCAAATCAAATCGACTCTGCAAACCGTCAAATAAATAAGTAATCAAACAAATGAATAAATAAATAAATAAAAAATCAAATCAATAGTCCTCAAAAGTCAAACAGCAATATCGCAATTGCGCAGTCGACAATTGCAACACGATCAATCAATCAATAAATATCAGGGGTCCACCATTTCCACATCCATCGAACCTCGGCACATGCACACACAAACATACATACACGGGCGGAAAACAAATATCGGATTCCGATTCCGAATCCGGGGTTTAGTGCCCGTTGGGATGTGATAGGTGGATATACATACTGATACTGATACTGATGCTGATGCTCTATATATAGGATTAGAGTGATCAGATAGGAGAACATAGATATGAATATGCGCATAGCCATTTCGAGATTTGATAAATTGTATGTATCAAAGCAATCTTAACGATCAAGGGTCTTCATGACGGTGTCAGGTCTTCTGCACAGATTGAGATGAAAGTTACACAATTTATAGCAAGGTCATACGTCGTCATATCACGCAGAACAGCATTGAAAACATATCGAGATGAAAGTAACGGTTTTAATTCTGTTGACCCAAATGTTTATGAGCCGTCTCATCATCGCCTTCCAAAATGTAAGTCTTTTCTTCTTTCACGCTTGTCTAAGATACATGATCCGAACCGTTTATCATCTTGCTCAGTTTAGAAAAAAGTAACCCATCCCACCATCCGTTCCTTGACTTTAATATTAAAATCACCATGTTGACCAGTATTACCAACGCCCCAGTCTAAAATGACACACTAACCCACGCTTGTAAAAAACAAAGATGCAATTTTTAATTTTGCCATTCAATTGAAAGCATTCTGATCATCCACTCATTAATGAAAATGCTTATGCAGCATCTGCTGATGGAACAGGTTCCGCAATACGGGTTACCTGACTACCAGCTCGGATAATCTTTTGACCAGCGGTATCACTGACAAAAGAAATATCCTTGTTCTCACGTTGAGCGCGCTTCCAGATCTCAACTTCACATCCACCACGTAGGACACCTACACGCATGGTTGAAAGAAGATTGTGGGCAGCGTTGGAATGATTGTAGACACCACCATTGAAAATAGCAGTTGCATCTTTGCCAATACCGGATGTGATGAGTGCCTTTCCACCTGGATGTTCCTTTACGAAATCGGTGACATCGTGAATAACGCCAGCGACAGCAACGAGAGCACGTCCATTCTTAGCTTCGGTTTGATAAGTGTCCCAGTCGATGATTGGCAATTGTTCAAGAGGAATACCCCAGTCAAGAGTTTGCCTCTTTTGGTCGAGTTTCTTTTGGAGTTGTTGGAGACGGCCCTTCTCAATTTCGTTGGACTTGAATTGCTTAAGATCGTAGGCGAGACCGAGTTGCTTCCACGTCCATATGGACCATTTGGTTGGGTCATATTGATGCCATTCGATAGCGTTACGGTAATCAGATGGGAATTCGTGGTGGAAGTTGTGGTAACCTTCTCCAAGAGTAGCGAGAGCAGTGATGACGTGATCACGAGGAGAGTTGCGGTCATCGAAAGGTTGGTCACCGAGCCAATGAGCCAAAGAGTTGACGCAGAAAGTAGCTTGTTGGACGAAGAAGATTCTGAGGATACCGGCGTAGATGAAACCACCGAACCAATCACCCCAACCAAGACCAGTGACGACACATGGGAAGACCATACCCATGAAGATAACGGTCTTGATGTAGTTGCGATGTTGCCAAACGACAACAGGGTCATCATTCAAATCGGAGATATCGGTACGTCCAATAGACTTTGGGTTTTGCTTCATGATCATCCATCCGAAGTGAGAGTATAGGAGACCTTTTCGTACGGAGTATGGATCTTTATCGGTATCGGTGTATCTGTGATGAGCTCTGTGATCTCTTGACCACCATCTGATGGAGCCTTGGACGGCTCCACCTCCAACAGCTGCAAGGAAAATCTTCAATGGGACTGTGGCAGAATATGAGGAATGTGCCCACAGTCTGTGATAACCTGGACGAATTTGTTAGATGTGATTCATTGTGCAAAGAAATCAATTAGAACCTACCAGCAGTGATACCCAAACCGGTCATAAAGTAGTAGAGGACAGCCCAGACAGCAGTCTTCCACTGCAAAGGAGTCCAGTAGGACATGATGAGACCATAAATGGGAACTCCAACAATGAGAGTGACGTTAAGCCAGTTAACGTGTTTGTACCAGTTTGCCTTGGTGATTGGCTCCTCGGTGATATGAGGCTTCTTTGGGTCATACTTCTTGTTGCGATTTGGCTCTGAAGTCTTCGCCATGCTCGAAGGTTGTGACGCGTTCGAAGCCATTTTGAAAGAATGTCGATGATATGGGGGGAAGAGAGCGTGAGGGAAGGAAAAAGAAAAGGGTTGATGGAGGAGTGATTGAACTTATAAGTAGATTTGATGGTGTTTGGAAATGTACTAAATTGTACTTTCCGAACAGGGATATGTAGGGATGGAGAATTGAATGGGTAAAGAAGTTCAAGGGACTGGATGAATCGGTAACTCGGTTGGGTGATCAAACGTAAGGTAAAAATGGAGACTTTTTCATCTATGGTCGATTTTTATTTTTTTTGATGGGAAAACCTAGAAGATACTAGTAAAAGCAAGCGTGGAGCTATTTTCTCAATTTTCTTAATTCTCTTGATTGATTTTTTTAAATTATTAATAAGCATGCCAATCTATGGAGTATTGTGTCTACTTCGTATGTAAAATCTTGGATTTTCGCCACTTGGAAGGCAAAAGGAAGATTAGACCAGGGCGAAATGTGGAAGATGGTATTATCTAGGATATCTAGGGTATTGTATTTATTGTCATCTTCGGTTTATCTTCCTTCCCCTTGCTAATAAAGCATCGACATCCGTATACCGGTACTCCGTAGTATGGTGGATCTGTAATCACAATTTCAAGACAATACTATGTTCACCGTTATATTTTTGGAAAGAATTACGGCTCTCTGTGATTTATTACCGTGAGAAATGAATAGAACGGAAGTTTGGAATCTTTCCTCTTTCTTCTTCTGTCCTCGGTGATTTCCTACTTGGAATTAATCATTTCTTTCTTATTCACATGTGGTCAATGGTCATCAAGAACAGACCGGTTGGCTGGCTGTGAGTGATATCCCCAAATCCTCAACGTCCCAACAGATTTCAGAATCGTGATGAATTAATTGGTTGACTAAGCGAACTTGGATACATTCGCAGGAATCTCCTAGTGACTTCTATGATCCTGCTGTATCATCCATTCCAACAACATCCATTGCTCATCTCAACGGATAAATTAGGAAGTTATTACCTAGGTGGTGATATAATACCTGTTTTTGATATCATAAGTGATGAACTTTATCCAGGTATATTGAGTGTTATCATTAAGAACCTTCTTCACGAAATTCTAAAATGTCTCAACCACGCAATCAATCAATTCAATTACCCAAAAGTCAAGGTTGGGTACCTGATTGAAAGTACCACCTGAGTCCAAGCACACGCACAAGCACAAGCACAAACAAGTACACAAGCCACATATGAGACCTTCTTTTGGACCCTTATTACAGGGCTCTTTAAATAACTCTGGGATGCCACTAATCAATCCCTTGACAACCTAACATCTCACAGCTTTAGACACGCTGGACTCGGACCTGCATTATCGTTACATAGATACCATATACCGGTAACATAGCTGCATTTTCTCTTGTTACTGGAGATAACGTCTTCAATATTGCTAAATCCTTAATCATTAAGTCCTAACTTTTAATTCTTAATTAGGCTGTTCGCCCATAACAACTAAATAACCCCGTTCCCGTCCGATTCCTATTTCATCACTATCTTATCCATTCCAGTCTCTTCATCGCCAATTTATGAAACATCAACGAACAATCTTGGCCAAATCACCATGTTCCATTGGTCGGAAATTCAAATACTATTCTGACCCAATCAAAATCACAGAATTAAAGATTGACCTGACACTTCACTCTCGATTCCCCAACATGGAACAACCCCCAGACCACTTCCGGCTTTCACCCTTTCCCTAGTGGTGGACCAAAAATCACATCTACTTTTTTGTTGAGAAGCGGGCGGAACAGGAATAAACTACCACCGATAAGATTGTCGAGGAAAAATTGTACAAATCCTTCCTTTCTCCACAAATTTCATGCATCGAGAATAATCCATGCAGCCACCTCCACATTCACATCCGTTACCGAGGCTGGGAACCTCCTCTGTTTTTGCCACCGAAGCGGTTGTTGGTTGGTCCATCTATCCCTTCTTTGAGTAAGAGTTGGTTGGTCAATGGCGTGTTCACGGAATTTATGGATATCCTGTCTCAGTCCGGTACCACAGTGGACACATAGTCAACCCACTTTGAATGGCGTGTTTGATAAGATCGTAAGGATCAATGAGGCCAAATACTTTGTTGGGCATTGAGGATGCGAACACGAGAGGCGGAGAGGCGGGGTCTTCATTCAATGCAGTGTAGTGCTGTGCAGATGATGATGACTTTTGGAATGGTGTATGAAAATCTCACGACAGCATGTCTGGTTTGGAATGAAATTCTACATTGTTCTTTGGTTACCGGAAAGCTGGATGGCTGGTTGCCAGAGATCTGGAAATATACCGTTCTCCTTCAAGCGTAGGAGAAAGTTCACTTCATCACTAAACTTTCAGTAAAGTCATGGTACTCGAAATTGTACAAGGTCGATCCTCAACGAGATTTTTAAGTCAGTCATGAGTATGGCATCAATAGATTGATTCAATCATTCCATTTACATCCTACACTACACGAAGGCAAGCATCTTTCAATATCAAATTACATCTATTTACATTTCAAATCTCCACATTCCTGGCGAACGATTGTCCGGGTTCCAGACCCCCTCAGATATTGCGCTTGATGACTCCCC